ATTAATTTTTAAAAGCTTCGATCTTTTTTTTTCAATTGTCGTAACTCTAATTCTTGTAATTTATGGTCAAAGTTTAAATTTCACTCATAAATAAGGCGATTTTTAATACACTAATTGTATTGTATTGAGTTTAAAAACAAGCATATCTATACAAATGCAAATAGATACTGCCAGATTTTTGCATTTTCACTATTTGCAGCGTGAAATATGAAGAGAAAAAGTTTTCTTTTTGTAAACATATTTTAGATTTTTTTAATAAATTACAAAAACCAAGTGTACAAACTACAAAATCTGGAGTAAATTTATAAAATTGAATTCTATTTTTTACTTTTTCTTGTAAGAATTCATGCATCTTTTATATATTCAACTTTTGAACTTTTTGTTCCAGAAACGAAACTTTCGTAAAATTCGACATTGTCACAGAATTATATTTATTTTTTCACTTTAATAAGTAATATAACGTAGAAATGATACGAAATAACGATAAATCATGTAGAAAATCGGTTCTTGAACAACAGCTCTATCCTTAAGATAATCCCAAAGAAAAAAATTTCATTTTCGTAGAAGTCATCTTTTAAGTATTATTTTACATTTTCTAAGTGTTCTACGATCCTGTATTTTTCCATCACTTAACCTCAATGTTTACTAATGACAACATATCAAAAAAGGCAACTCTGATACTGAAGCGAAAAAAATGGCGGCAAATTCAAAATGTCAGTTCTTTTTGGGACATCATTTTTAAAGATAGATAAACCTTTTCAATTACAGAACTTTAATCGTTTCAGCATAATTTATTTTCACAATTGTTCAAAATTTATATTATCATTGAGATTTTTTATGGCTTCAATCCAAATAGAATAGAAAATTTGAGGATGCAAATGTGCATCATTTTTAAAGTGATTTTTTTACATTTTCTACGCCTTATTCGATCGTGTACTTTTCCATAACTTAACCTCAATGTTTACTAATGATAGCAAATCAAAAATTTCCACTCTGATATTAATGAAAAAAAAAATGGCGACAAATTTAAAAAGTCAGTTACATTTGGGACACACTTTTTTTTTAAGAAAACAGTATTTTTAATTGCATTTTAGGATATTTTATTCCCAAAATTGTTCAAATTTATTATCGTTCAGATTCTCTCATTGTCTGTTTTTATATAAAATAAAAATTAAGAAAAAAATATTATTTTTTTTTTAAACTAGAAATTGTAAAGTCTGTATAGTCGAATTGTGTTTATCAATATAAAACTAAATTTGCAGTGTATTCAATGACAAATATATCTTTATAGTAAAAAAAAAAACACGCGTATCAAGTTTGCGATTTATTTTAGAAAAATGGGTAAGTTTAAGTATGAATTTTATAACATATTGTTTAGGCTTTTTTCGTTTCTTAATTCTAATTCTAATTATAACAGCAATGCTAAAAGCAGATCATAAATATGCGTTGGTGAACTACGAGCAGAACTCGAAAACGCAGTACAAAATTGTGGATAACTCGAAACTTGCGGACACCGAGAAACCGAACACGAAATGTTACATTTCGAGTGATCAAAACGAATCGTTCACGTGTCTCGTCATAACGACATCCAGTGAGTCGAGAAAACGTTCTTTATTTGGTAATAATAAACTAATTGTTGTTTGTTTGTTTGTTAGATGATGAGAACGATCTGAAGATCTTAATTGGTCACATGTTAGCCAAAAATTTGGATAACATCACTACAGAGAATGCAGCGCAAGCGAGTTACACTCCAACGAGGAATTACATTGTGAAAGATCAATCTAAGAGGACAACAAATGGAAATAATGATGATCCGACGATCACTTTAGGGCCGAACGGGAACACACTTTCGGGATGTTGCAAGAATCTTATAAATTGGGATAGTTTCCAGTCCGCGACCAACGGTTTACTCAACGTTCTATTCACGAAGGACGTTTTGGCGACGCACGTATTGCCAAGGGGAAGTAATGTCTCGCCCAAATTAGATCAGCGTAAAGTCGACGATTTAGTTTACTTTGTGACTAGTAAATACAACGTAACTGAAGAAGCTGTGTTCAGGGAGATTTCGTACCGTTGTCATTACGAATACAAGATGTATATGCAAGAACGGTTCTATCAAAACCCATGTATTTAATCTTGTTGGCATCGTCAACTTTTGTAACTTGATTTATTATTATAATTTTTGCAATTATTTCAATAAAACATATATATTATTATTATTAGATGTTTGCACCATTCGATTAACAATAAATTATTTAAAATTTATTCATACAAATTGATAATTTCATCGTTTAAGACGAGAAAATTGATGATTTGTAAAAAGATTCGATTTTCGTTTTCTGCAAATTTGAACGTAAATAACAGGAAATTGGAAAAACTTACAAATATGGTAAAAAGTACGTTTGAAACACCAAATATTCATCTTTAATCCAAATACTTATTGATAATTGTGTCTTGTATAATTTCTGAGAAACATGATGATTTGTAAAGCACAAACATTAATATGATAATTATGTTGTATTTAGTTTTAAGGCAACATGATGATTTGTAAGAATAGACACGATTTTGGAGGCTTCGTTACATATTTTATTATAAATATGGACAAATTTGGCAAATATTACGTTGAAAACAGCATTTTTTTACGTTAAATTAGTGTACTTTATGATAATTGTGTCCTGTGCAGTTTTGAATAAAAATGAAATTTTTTTCAAAATATTCACGATTTTTGAGGCTTAATTACACGTTTTTTATTAAATATGGACAAATTTGTCAATAATACGCTAAAAACACCAAATTTTTATCTTTAATTAGTGTACTTTATGATAATTGTATCCTATATAGTTTTGAAGAAAAATGATGATTTGTAAAAATAGACACGATTTTCGAGGCTTAATTAAACGTTTTTTATAAATATGAACAAATTTAGAAAATATTACGCTGAAAACAGCTATTTTTACCTTTAATTAGTGTACTTTATGGTAATTGTATCCTTTATAGTTTTAAAGAAAAATTTTATTATAAATATGCATGTGATTTAGCAAATATCACACTGAAAACAGCAAATGTTTACCTTTAATTAGTGTACTTTATAATAATTGTGTGCTATATAGTTTTGAAGAAACGTGATTATTTGTAAAAATAAGCACGATTTTCGAGGCTTAATTACACGTTTTTTTATAAATATGAACAAATTTAGCAATATCACGCTGAAAACACCAAATGTTTACTTTTAATTAGTGTACTTTATGAGAATTGTGTCCTGTATAGTTTCGAAGAAACATGAAGATACTTAAATGTAAACACGATTTTCAAGGCTTAATTAAACGTTTTATTATAAATATGTACAAATTTAACAATAATACGCTGAAAACACCAAATTTTAATCTTTAATTAGTGTACTTTATGATAATTGTATCCTATATAGTTTTGAAGAAAAATAATGATTTGTAAAAATAGACACGATTTTCGATGTTTAATTAAACGTTTTATTATAAATATTTAATTAGTGTACTTTATGAGAAATGTATCCTATATAGTTTTGTAGAAAAATGATGATTTGTAAGAATAGACACGATTTTCGAGGCTTAATTAAACGTTTTTTATAAATATGAACAAATTTTGCAAATATCACACTGAAAACAGCAAATGTTTACCTTTAATTAGTGTACTTTATGATAATTGTGTCCTGTATAGTTTTGAAGAAACATGAAGATTCTTAAAAATAGACACGATTTTCGAGTCTTAATTAAACGTTTTATTATAAATATGGACAAATTTGGCATATATCACACTGAAAACAGCAAATTTTTACCTTTAATTAGTGTACTTTATGATAATTGTGTCCTGTATAGTTTTGAAGAAAAATGATGATTCTTAAAAATAGACACGATTTTCGAGTCTTAATTAAACGTTTTATTATAAATATGGACAAATTTTACCTTTAATTAGTGTACTTTATGATAATTGTGTCCTGTATAATTTTGAAGAAAAATGAAGATTTTTCAAAATATACACGATTTTCGAGACTTAATTACACGTTTTTTTATAAATATGTACAAATTTGACAAATATCACACTGAAGACACCAAATTTTTACCTTTAATTAGTGTACTTTATGAGAATTGTGTCCTGTATAGTTTTGAAGAAACATGATTATTTGTAGAAATATACACGATTTTCGAGGCTTAATTATAGGTTTTTTAGAAATATGTACAAATTTAGCGAATAGTCCGCTGAAAACACCAATGTTTTACATTTAGTTAGTGTATTTTATGATAATTGTGTCGTTTTTAGTTTTGAAGAAAAATGATGATTTGTAAAAAGACTCGACTAAAACATTGTTTCAACTTTGAACATAAATTACAGGAAATCTGCAGCAGCTACAAATATTTCAATTGACACATTCGAAAGCCTAAACATTTAGCATTAATTAGTGTACTCAACGAAAATTGAATCATTTACGGTAATTGAGAAAAATAACAATTTGTCAAGACACACACGATTTCTGAGGAATCACAAATTCATCAAAGTTTCCGTTTCCGAACAAAAAAATTCTAAACTGAATTACGTCTCATTTTACATAAATTCATATGAATTAGTTCAATCACAGAAATTCTTTCAAATGTACTTTGAAATTTCTACATTTCGCACACTTGGTTTTTGAATTAAAAAAAAAAA